TGCTACTGACATACTTGTAGAAACCCTTCTTGTTACTCTTCACATCCCTTGCTAGCTGCAACTCCAGTTGTGCTTTGGCCTTCCTGACTGCATTCCTGCATGCCCAAGCAATGCTCTTATACTCTTATATTCCTCCCTATTTATTTGTCCAAGTTTCTACTCCTTATAAGTTTCCTTTTTGTGGCTTAGTTTACTGAAAAGTTCCCTGCTAAGGCAAGCTGGTCTTCTGCCATACTTGCTAGTCTTCCTGCACTCAAGATTTTTTTTTCCTGTACTCTCAGTAAGGCTTCTTTAACATACTGGCCAGCTGTTCTGGACCCCTCTCCCCCTCAGACGGGCTTCCTAGGGGATCTGGTCCATGAGTTCTCTGAGTCAAAGTCTGCTTTCTGAAGTCCAGGGTCCCTACTCTGCTGCTCTTTATCCTTCCTTTCCTCAGGATCCTGAACTCAATCATCTCGTGGTCACTGCTGCCCAAGTTGCCATCCACAACTACATTCCCCACCAATTCTTCTGTTTGTGAGCAGCAGGTCAAGAGCATGGCCCCTAGTTGGCCACTCCAGCACTTGTACCAGGAAGTTGTTCCCAATACTCTCCAAAAAACTTCCTGGATTATCTGTGCACTGCTGTATTGCCCTACTAGCAGATCTCAGGGTGACTGAAGTCCTCCAAGAGAACCAGGGCTTGTGACTGGGAAACTTCCACTAGCTGTTTGAAGAAAGTCTCATCCACCACTTCCTCCTGGTTTGGTGGTCTATAGCAGACACCCACCACACCATCTCCCTTGTTGCTCTTCCCTCTGACCTCAACCTAGAGACTTTAAACAGGCCTATCTCCAGTTACTTTTTTCAGTATCTGTTTCCACACTGTAAGCTTGCTGGGGCAAGGGTTGCCTTAATATCTGTGTCTTGTTCAATACTGTTTTTATATCTAACAGTACCAAAAATACAATGCAGTATGTATTTGTGAGCAATGAAAATGGCAGTGATTGGATCAGACACATAATAAACATGTTTTTATCACTGTTATGCTAGATTAGATATTCCACTGCATCCTAAACCTCACCTCATTTATTTCTGGTAGCCTGATGTATACCTCAATCTCCAGTATGTGAAAAGCTCTATGGACACAGAACAATATAAACATAACAAATGTACATATATATAAATCAACTTGATATAGTGTAATTCACAAAAATCTGTGTTTATTTGTATTCAGTATTGAAATGTCCTCAGCAAAGCAATGCAAGTAATGTAATACACTGCTGTTCTCAATCAGTCAGTCATCTGGTGCATTCAGCTGCAAGTGGTATAAACAGATGCTACTTTCCTACCTGAGAAAGAAAACAGGCGGCTGTCCACAGTGCGTGCTATAGATTGCAGCTTAACAACATCCATTGATTGCCCAATGTGCACTGTACTGGGCATGCTGCCTAGAGTTCCTCTCACAAACTCTGCTACTTCCTGCACTGTGAACATCTGCAGTAGCTCATCAAAGATCGCAGGGAATGAATTCAACAAAGCAGCCTGAAAAAAATGAAATGAAGAAATGTTTTGAGGTCTGTACTTCTAAAGCAAGGATAGTACATCAGAAACAAAGTTTGTGAAATACAAACAAACAGTGGTAAAACAGAGTTAAGGGTCTGGAAGAGTTTTTAAATTCTGAGTTGTGGTTGATACTCCAATTTGTATCACCCTGTTGTTCACAGGAAGCAAAGAGCAACTAGTATGCAAGATCAGGTTCTGTTTTGACATCCCTGAAATACTAATACATAACAGGTTGACTACATTTGGATTTAAGAAACCAAAAACCTCACAAGGATGCTGGTCACAATTTACACTAGAATGTATAAAATGGTATTAAAAATATAATAGCTTTTTAGGTGTAGGAGAACAAAACAAGAGAATCCTAAAATAGTTCAAACCTTTTTTTGATTTTTACCTTTTATATGTTACGAAGAGCTACTTGAACTGAGAACCTGTATCTCACATTTTTGTACAGAAATAATTTAGTAAGCAGCTCCTCCAAAAGTCTCTTTTGTAAAGAAGATACTGACAGACCCTTAACAGCAACACTATTGTGTGACATTACTGTGCTTCTACAACAGTGAGGCTAAGTGAATTTCCATGAGAAATAAGCACCAGATCATGCAAAAAAATACAGTATAAATGACTTGTGTTGCAAGGGGATATCTTCAATAGCTTGGAGTTATCCCTGAAGGTAACTATGGAAAGGAAGAAAATCTCAGTATAACAAAAGTAAATCTTCATTTCATTCAAGTCATTCCTTCCTATTTATATCTGTGAGAGTAGATAATTCCATAACACTTTGAGTTCTCAAGTCCCACAACTTTGGTATCATCCTGAACTCATTCTGCTTACCCCTAATATGCAAGATGTTTTAAAATCCTCCTGTTTCTTCTTCCTTTGCAACATATCCCTACAGTCACATTTCTTTTGCATATTTTGATAACCTCTTACCTGAAGTAATTAAATCTGTTTGACTTCCCAGCCACCTTCTCATTCCCATCCAAATGGCAATTATCATCATCAAAGTTCATACTCACTGTTTTGACGAATTCCCTTACTGGCTCCACAGCCTTTTCTACAACAATTTCAAACTCACTGGCCAGATTTATAAAGTTTTGTACCATTCCTTCCTATCTGCATCTCAAGCCTAATTGTCCAACAGTTTCCTTCATTTTGCTAGTTCTTTTTCCCCCTCTACCCCACATACTCTTTTTTCGCTCTTCTCAAGCACCTCTGTGACCTCCCTCATGCTAATTCCTACACTTCAGACATGTCTACACAAGATGCTTTACTTGAGATTAGAGCTAATGACTGTGCAGTAAGCGTCACCATCTACATGTGCAGATGCTTACTGTGCAGTAATTTGCTCTAATCCTGACCAGGAGCTGGCAGCTCGCTGCTGTCAGGGCAGGGGGACATTTTCCCTGCCCGGGGTCCAGTGGTAGAGCCTGCTCCAGCAGCAGGCAGCTCCCGGGGGCAGGGAACAACGTCCTAGCCCCCACCAGGAGACAGTGGTCTTTTGGCCTGGTGCTCCCTGCCAGCCTCTTGGCTAGCACCCAAGGCAGCCAGAGCATTTGCACATGTAGATGTGTCCTTTGAGTAGGATACTTTACAACACACAATTTCCTTCTTTTTCTCCATTTTCCATGTTATGATAGCGTAACAGTGATGTTGTAGCCATGATGGTCCAGAAATTATGCAAAAGACAAGGAATTCTTATTAGAACAACTATGTAGTTGGGATAGTGTTAGACAAGCATTCAAATGCAAGACATCTGAAATCACCTGATGAAGAATGTCTTGCATTCAAAAGCTTGTTTAATTCTGGCCAAGCTACATAATTGGTCCAATAAAAGTTATCACCCTAAGAAATCCTTGCCTCTTGCATAATTTCTGGACTATCACAACTACATTACGCTTACAGTATCATAACATGGAACATATTCAAATTTGCCATTTACAATGGAAAAGTCACAATCTAAAGAAAAAAGAGCCAAACACATGGTGACACATCTTCTTAAGCCTGGGCAAGAAAGACAAAATCAGTCCAAGGGAACTCATAATCTGCAGCCCTCCAGCTACAATTCTATATAAGCAATACAACTATGCAGGAGAACTTTGGAAAATTAAGGAACCATAGTCTTCACCTAACCTACACCAAAAGAGATCAATTTAAAACTGGAGATACTCACTTACGCTACTAAACTAAGAGACAACCTGGGGACATACCTGACTACTATGCAGCAGCCTCAAATGTATTACCAAAAATACCTGATGACAGCCATCCAAAAGAAAAAAAAACAGTGGAATCAGCTATCATAACAGGAACCAACTCATGGGCACCACACAAGCAACACAGGAGGGATCCAAGACAGTAGAGACCTGACAAAGAATGTCTTGCATTTGAAAGCTTGTCTAACTCTATCCCAACTACATAATTGGTCCAATCAAAATATCACCCTAAGAAATCCTTGTGTCTCACTTCATTTCTGAATCATGTTTCAAACCACTGTTCTCCACAGTCAATCAAACAATATCCCCTCATTAATCTCTCTTTAAACATAATAAACACAATTTCAAAAATAACCCCAAATCCCTTTCAAACATTAGATGGTCTGTACAGTCTGTATCATTATTCTACAAATAATTTTGCTCCTCACTCCATTTCTCTACCTATTATGTCACCCAGAACCTTATTGTCTTTGTAATCAATTTAGATTACATAGCAATCCAAAGAGTTTATCATGTCATCAGTTGAGTGTTGCAACATATAAATATTAAATAAATAAGATAAACTAACAAACATCTCATGGCTTTGAAATATTTGAGGGCTCTTATAATGTTTGCAGATCTTAGCATTAGTTTTAGTTTTCTCTATGATTATTTCATGATTGTGTAGACCAGGGGGAGCCAACCTGTGGCATGTGTGAGATGCCCTCCGTGTGTTGCACACTGCAGACCAGGGACAGGACAAGCAGTATATTGGCATACAGGGCAGGAAGCACAAAGCAGAGCAGCAGAACAAGCATTAGAAAGGGGTTTGAAGGGCACTCAGGGAAGGTGAAGGGCTGAATTGTGGCATGTCTGCTTAAAAGGTTGGCCCCACTAGTGTAGAACAACCTGGCAAGGACTGTGACTAGGAAAACAGGCAGAAATGTCACGATAATAGTCCAGAATATTCTTGCAACAGTTTTCCTGAATCTGCCTATAAACCTTCTACTAAGTGGGAAGATATTTGTAGTGATTTAAGAAACCTGGAAGGAAAGATGGCAAAATCAATTTTACTCTCATGGCTTGGGAAGGAAAATCTCTAACATCCTGCGTGAGACAAGGGATGCAGACAGAGATAATATTTGAACTGTTCCAAGAATATCACCGATTGGGAACCCATTCATAATTGTCCCTGGACTGAAATGTCCACACATATACTGCTAAGGGTTCTATGTAGAACTACTTTTTACAGATATTATGCCAAAACAGGGGGTTGTAGAGTACCCAGACCATCATGCTTCCTAGGGGTCAGTGCTCAGGGTTTCCTCAGGATTCCCCTAGAGGGGGAGGAAGACCCATACTGGGGCAGGGGTTTGGAGTGGAAAGGTTTCCAGGTTCTGGGGGGCTGTGAGATCCCTGGCTCATGGTACCCATGAGGCTGGGTGTTCTGGGCCCTCTCAAAAAATCCTTATTTTTTCCAACCCCTGCCCTGGAAAGCCACCTTGCCATTTTCACCTCCTTGTTACAGATCCTAAGAGGTGGGGTCCTAGGTTCAATCTGAGGGGGGGAGGGGTTGCCAGGTGTTTCTCTTCACCTGTATCTGAGCTGCCACCACTGGTCTCCACCCAAACCACACTCCATGCCTCGGTTTCCCTGCCTGCCCTCACTTGCACAGTCCATGCCTGTACTTGCTTGCATGCTACCCAACTCTGTGTGATGGTATCCAGACAGGGGGTGACTAGGTATGTGTGTGTCATGGGGGGCCAGTCCCTAGATACTGGCTACCCTCTCACACCCCAAATAAGCTTAGGACCTAGCAGGGAAGTGAAATTGATACAGAGGCTTTCTGCTTCTGCATCCCTGCAGACTGTGGACCCTGTTGGCAAAAGCTCTTTGAAAAGTAGAGTCCTGGTTGCATCCCAGAGCTGCCCCATTGCCCTGTATCAGTTTGGGGGAGGTGAGGAGTGGTACAGTTTGGGATATCTAGAAAACTGACCAGACACTTGGTACAGAGTGCTCTGTGTTTGCAAATAACATTGAATCAGTTCAAGGAAGACTGGCTCAAAATAGTACTTAATTTTCCCATGTACTTTAGAAACATTACATGAAGTTTAAATTGGGTAAAGTGATATGTACATTTAGACTTTCAGGCTGCATCCACATGAGGCTGGATGTTTGGTTCCCTGGGGACAAAAGCAGTGGGATACCTTGGGCCTGTTGTCATTAGTTGTCCCTGAGCGATGCCTGTGCCACACACCCTCTGGCACATGGCAGGTTATACTGGGTGGGTTAGGCCCTAGAAGCCTTACCTGGGGTACTGGGAGCCTCCTGGGGCTGTAACAGAAGTGATCCTGCTGCTCAGAGCATGGCTGGGAGCCAGAGTGTGGCTCCAGCCAGTCAGGCGCCTGTTTTCAGCTGCACATGCTGCCCCTCCGTGTGTTGCTCCTCTTTTTTTTGGCGTGGGTTTTTTTGACCCCTGAATATCCAGGGGTCAACTCCCCCCACTGCCCCTGTGCTCCCTTTCAGCATGGAGAACAGCTGAATGTGTGGTATATGGCGCCAGACACATGTCTGCAGCACCACATAGTGCATGGCCATGCTCATCTGGACATGGCCTCACAGTTTAAAGTATATCTAGAATGTTCTAAGAGTTGCATCTGTCCACACTCAAGGAGTGTAAAGAAAAGCAGCCAACCCACTCCAACTCTAACACTCCTTCTTCCAGGGTTAGAGGAGGGGTTCGCTTCATTTGAATCATTCTCACCTCATTCACACATAACAATTATAAAGTACCACCTGTTGCCCTTCTGAAATGTTCCCCTTTTAAAAGGATCCAAGCCTGGGTCCATACCCTAAGTTACCATCTTCAGTGATACATGCACTAAAAGAACCTAAAAGCACCATAACGACAGGTTTGAGCTAAGAGTAAGCTACCATTTGGCACAATCACTTTGGTGGGATTTGAAGAGGAAAAGAGGCAAACAAGATGAGTAAGACCCAGTATCTTGTCACTTTCATATTTTATCTAAAATATCTTCTATACTGTCATTGATTTTCTTGTCTATTAATATATATGAAAACATCCCTTATACTGAAGGATGAGTAAAATTTATATCTATTCTCTTGCAACAGTGATCCATTTTCTCTCATCACTTCTAATGATCAAGGTGACTCACACAGGTCTTGACCATCTCTTATACTACATTTTCGAGACTCTGAAACCCTGCTTGTTAAATTTGTTACTAGAACAGGCCATATTTTATTCCTTAGCTTCAAAAACTGAACAATCAAACGCTAATTACCAAGTTTATATGCAGGAAAAGATGGATTGGGTTAGGAAAGAGAGTTTCAGGTACATCCATGATGAAAGAGCTGTGCAAAGTAGGGGATCATTACTTACAGAATTAAATGACGGCCTTGTAGTACCACCACACTTTTGTGGGGCACCTGTCCCAGCTCCGCTCACCTGTCCTCCAGGCTGAGGGGCCTATGGGGCAATTGGGATCAAAGGGCAACATAGTGGCAGGTGGGAAACAAAAAGTAAACTTTTCAAATATTAAATAGGACAGTTTTCACAAACATACAAATGCCAGCATGGTAACAAAGAGAACAATTCCCTCCTTAGTCCAGGTTGCTTTGGATATCTATGAAAGCCAAAGCTAAAAACAAAAGAATGGTTTTCCTAGCTACAATTTTCCCTGATGATCACTTTCCTGTAGGAAGTCTCACACTGGTTTGTGATATCCTGGTTCATGCTCATGTTGAGCCCACTAGAGGGTGATTAAACCCAGAGCCACAGCTGTGTTTCTCAAACTTTTTCATAGTGTGGATACATCATAGTAGAGAGAGACTCTTGCTCATAGGTGCTGACTCCATGGGTGCTCCAGGGCTTGAGCACGCACCAAAAAAAATTTAGTGGGTGCTGAGGACCCATAAGCCATAACACCCTTTATGCTTATGATTCAGACGCTTGACTTAAAAAATAAAAGGAATGCAGAATGTTTCCTCTAACCACATAACATGACAATATATTTGTGTCCCTTCTTGAATGTAAAACTGCCCAACTGTTCTGCATTTGTCCATACATGCAATTCTACTGTCTAAAATTACTGTGTGGCTATGTCACTCCTTTCAGTATAATCAGCCTGATAGAGTGCACAAGCTACGCTACTGGCTCCTAATCATTTCAGGTATGTGCTGCTTGGCACAAAATAGCTTCCTTTTTTATTGGCAGTTAAACGTAAGTGCAGAAGAAAGCTAACCTGTGTGAAGATTAGTGTCTCGGAGCTCCTACTGTCCAAGCTGAGGACAAATCTGATGGACTGGAAAAGCTCCTGAATGCTGGAGCGGAACTGCTCCTCTTCCATTCCACAAGTAGCTCTGGAGTAAAGGATCCGAGATTGGACAATGAACTTGAAAAGATATTCCAAGGCCTTAAGGAGCAGCAAAAGGAATGAGGGTAACAAAGAGAGAGATAAGGGTGCTTTAAAGAGAGCCAGGACAATGTCTAGATACACAATAAATGAATGTATCATCTCTACAGAAAAGGAAAGAAAAACAGATTCTATAAGTTAAAACTCAGCTTAATAAAACCTACTTGCAGCTAAGAGTCCCCTTCCCACTCATAGTCTTCATAGGATCATAAAAAAATTAGGGTTGGAAGGGTTCTCAAGAGGCCATCTAATCCAACTCTCTGCTCAAACCAGGACTATCCCTAACTACATCATCCCAGACAAGGCTTTGTCTAGCCGGGTCTTAAGAAACTCCAAGGATGGAAATTCCACAACCTCTCTGTGTAACCTGTTCCAGTGTTTTACTACCTTCCTAGTGAGAATGTTTTTCCTAGTATCTAACCTAAACTTCTCTTGCTGCAACTTGAAACCATTGGTTCTTGTTCTGTCATCTTTCACCACTGAGAACAGTTTAGATCCATCCTCTTTGTAGGCACCCCTGAGGCAGCTGAAAGGTGTTATTAAATCCCCTCCAGTGTTCCCTTTCCTAGGCTAAATACACCCAGCCCCTCTCTCAGCTTCTCCTCGTAAGTCCTGTTCCCTAGCCCCCTATTTTCATTACGCTCTACTGGACTCTCTCCAATTTGTCCACATCTTTTCTGTAGCAGGGGGCTCAAAACAGGACACAGTCCTCCAGATATGGCTTCACCAGTGATTAATAGAGGGGAATAATAACTTCCCTCAATCTGCTGGCAATGCTCCTCCTAATGCTTGTATGGTTATGTCTCACTAGGAAATAAAAGGTCTGTTCTTACATTAAGTAACTGATGGTAACACTTGTAGTTTTCATGCGAGTTAGCAAGTACAGCTAAAGACCAAGGCCTTTTTGTGCCTAAGGTAGCATTCCATTTCATTTTGTGCACCTAGATGGCAGTTTTCCAGCCCAAAGTGGCCTTTCTAGCACTTGTACATAGTTTGCAATTCTGTTAGTTCTACAAGTGTGCACATGTATATTCAGCATGAGCAGCAGGCTACATACTGGCCAGGCAGGTACATTTAATAATCACCAGATAAAATCGATGGAGGGCAGTGCAGTGGGGAAATTTCCAAACTCATATGAAGCTGGGCTCTAGGCTAGAAACTTTTCAAAACAGCACCCACTTCATTGTGCCACCATCCCCCCCTTTTCCTCCTGGCTCCACGTTTCTTCTTTTCTTTGGCCAGCTTCAAACGAACACTGGAAAAAAGACTTGAGTGAGGTGACTGTCCTAACCACTCAGCTGTTGCAGTTAAACCATGTGAGGACCCTCCTCCTTCTGGGATATCATAGGTTTTTCTCTGGCTACATTTTCTTAACTTAGATGTCCCCAGTGAGCATGCGTATCTGAGTACCTGCCCAATAAGTGCAGGCCTACTGTACATGGTAGTATATGAATGCATGCTTACACATCCAGACTGCAGGGACAAGAGTAACAAATTGTTTATAAATGCTCGGAGGGCCACCTATGGGCACTGACAGAAGTGACATTTGTCATGCAATCGGCCCCATGAAAGTACTCTGCAGCCATGCCTTGAGAGAAGTACATGGCTGCAGAGTGCTTTAAAAGAGCCCAGTCATGCAACAAATTAAATCTCGTCTAATGAGGGTTCAGATGAAGGTGCTTCAAACTGGAGCACCTTCATTAATTTCTATTAGTCCCAGCATGCGATCAGGGCTGGGCTGATGCAGCCCAGCACCATCCCACCCCTGGTGCTGTCTGCAGGATGGGAGTGGGGAGAAGGGAGGGAAGGGAGCTCCATGCTAGGGTTTGCCCAGCCTGAGCTGGAGCAGGGTGTGGATTGGAGCCCCCCACACCTCACAGCCCCACCCCACCCCTGTCCCTCCCTGTCCAGCTCAGGCTGGGCAAACCCCATCCCAGAGCTCCCTCCTTTCCCTTCTCCCCTCTCCCATCCTGCAGACAGTACTGGAGATGGGAGGGTGGGTGCTAGGGGAGAGAGGCTGCAGACAGGCAGCCTCTCTGTTGCATCAACTCCAAAGTGAGCCTCGATTTCCACCCCCCTCACCCCCCTCCTGAACAAACAGCAAATGTCTGTTTGGTTTGGGGAGAAGGGGCACTCTAACTCATGGCACTTCCTGTAAAGCACCATGAGTTAAAGTGGGGAGTTGCACATCTGTCAGTGCCCTATGTGGCTGACAAGCTACCATTTACTATGTTTACTTGACTCCAAGATAAGGGTTTTGTTCCCCCATTCAACATGAAGGGGAAAAGCCCCTCATTTTGGATTCAAGTACAAGGCAAAGGGGGGAGGGGCAGGTGGCTTCTGTAGCTCTGACTCCAGCCCTGAGCCTGGGTTGGGGCCAGTTAAAGCTGTAGCAGTTGCCTACCCCCACCCCTGCCTGCCCTGCATAACCTCTGCTCACTCTTCTCCCTGTTACCATCAGGTGTGGCTCTGGCTCCATCCCCTCCTCAGTACAGAACACATGGAAACTCTGGGCTCTGCCTTACCAATCAGCAGGGGTGGCAGCTCCAGCCCTGGGATGATGCTGTGTGGCTGAGCAGAGGTTGTGCTTCCATGTGCTCCATGCCTGCAAGGGAATGGAGCTGGAGCTATATCTGAGAATAAAGCGGGGAAAGGGGACAGAGGCTGTGGGGAGGGACAGGAAAGGGAGCAGAGGCTGGTGGGGAGGAGGGGTAAGGGAGCAGAGGTTTTAGGGAGCAGGCAGCGGGGAGAGGCTCTAGCATTGGGGCAGAGGCTGCACTGGTTCCTGCAATAGCAGTGAGAAGAACAAATTTAAGATGACTCCCTGGTAATAAGATTCTATACATGGAATATTATAACAAAATTTATAAATTTTCTATATATAGAATCTAATTACTGGAGGGTCACCTTAAATTCAAAGTCATTTTGGGTTTGGGTAAATATGGTATATCCACTAAGGGCAACAGAATTCTATCCTTATCTTCCACCAGCAGAATTTTTGGTGCAGGCAGCAGCTGCCACCACCAAACTGCCAGAACACGTATAAACTTTGCACTTCTGGCAACTCAATATGGCTTCATTGTAGCAGCCATTCCAACCAAACCAAAATGGACCTTATGAAGGCATCAATTGCTACAGGGACCACTAAAGCTGGCAAAAGGCACAGGAGTGTCTGCGCACATCTTTTGCAGGACAGCAACAGAAATTTTATTTTGCTTGGGAGAAGTGATGTAAATCTGCCAGAGGAAAGGGGGTATGCTCTCATAGTGAAGAGTATACACACATTTAAATTCTGCATGCAGAATTAGAGTTCTAGTGGCAGAATATTGTACTGTGCGTTAGCCTTGAGTTCAAAAGCCATGCCTTTGTAAGAGGTAACCTCTGTGGCATCTATACTCTCCTTGTCTTCAGCAGGTTTTTACTTCTAGTGAATGAATTAATTTGCAGTAACAACATGCTTGTTTTTCCCCATGTGAAAATAAGCCTATTAGGACATTATCAGTGTAATAGCAAAAGTCCTACATAGAAAAAAAATCTGCTCTTTACTTTGGGTGTAACAGAAGTATGTGCATGTATAAAGTAACAGGAATAGGAAGCAAGGCTCTTTAGAAGTAACTTTGCTACCATCACCAATTGTACTACCACCGATCAACTTCCCTTTGGAAACACTCTAGCAGTTGCAGGAGGAATCAAAGATTCTTCCTTAGTTCTCCTTATATAGGTAATTTCATACTGCCCTTATTAGGATGGGGTAAAGAAAAAACAACCTGCTCAGAACCACAGAACTTAGCATCTCTATAAACAGAATTATAGTGGGTTTTTTTGTCTGCAGCAAAAAATAAAATGTTTTTGTAGAAAAAATGAATTTTTAAAATATTTTGAATAAACACTCCAGCCTAGATTAAAATATGTTGTATTTCATAGGAGCTAAATATCAGTACAAGAAAAAGGTACTGTCCTACTGCAGCTTTAATAAGTCTGCCAGCTCAGCACAATCAGTAAACGTAACCACAGGGCCAACAGCTGACTGAGAAAACAGGTCAATGAGGCCCTGTATCCCATATGACAACACAATGCTTTCCCTTTCAATTACACAGGGTAGAAGGCAAACATTAAATGTATTTATGTCAGAGCCATTTCACTTTAGAAGGCCCCTTCTCTTCCATCTAGGGCACATCTGTACCACCTCTCTGCTGAGCCCAGGGCTGCTGCTGAGAATCAATCCCCACCTATACTTGCTTGCTAAATGACAGCCAACCCCAGCAATTAGGAATTGTAGATGGCTTAGAGGGTTCCTGAGTTTGCATCTGTGACAGAGAGCCTGAGAGCGCAGCTGGAGTGCACTAAAGCTCCAGTCTCCTTTCAGTCAGCTACACTGCCTGACTGCCAGGCTTGGACACAGGCAGATGAGGAATGAGTGGATGGGACTTGATTCTTGGTGGTGGTCCTGAGCATGATAAGAAGACAGTATAGTATCCCAAGGCACATGGCACCACCATGGCATGACTAGGTAGATAGCACAGGTATTATTTGCTGACAACCTCATAGTCTGGGTGTACCTTCATGCTCCAAAAATCATATTAGTGTAGACCAGAGGTGCTGAACATATGGCCTGAGGGCTGAATCCAGCCCATGGAGCTGTTTGATTGGGTCCATGGGTCATTGCTCCAGCTCTGCACACAGCATGTGGTACATGGGTTGGACCTCACACTGCACATGCTGCAGGCAAGACCAGGGTCAGTCTGGGGTGCCTGGACCCCCCTGTGTTGTGTTCAGCACTGGGTCCAGCCTCCATACTGTGGGCAGTGTGCCCCATGCTGGTTGAGTCTGCACACTGCAAACAGTGCGCCCTGTGCCAGCCCCAGTGGCAAATGGTACTGAACTAGCCATGTGTGCTGCATGTAACACAAAGGTCTGGTATGGGGTGCATGTTCCATGTGGTGTCCTGCCAGGCCCAGAGCCAGTGCACAGGGCCAGTCAGCATGGGGCACACGCTCCAGTGCACAGGGCCAGTCAGCAGGATGCTTCATGGAGTGTGTGCCCCATGCTGCATCCAACACACACGGCTGGTCTATTCCTGTGTGCAGCATGCATTGGCTCTGCACTGCCCATGATACAGGGATAGATCCAAAGCTGTGCACAGCACAAGGAATCAGTCTGGGGTGGTATACCACAAGCAGCACATGCTTTGTGGTAACTCCTGATCCAGCTCACAGATCAGCTCAGGGACACTCATTTGGCCCATGGGGCCAGATGATTTTGACATCTCTGGTATAAACAGAAACAACTATAACAATTTATTGATTTATTAGATTTAGATGCCAAAAGGTGGTGGTGGGAAAATCCTGTCTGTCAAGCTTATCTGTTTTATCTGTTTTGTGTGTCTACTCCTGCTCCATGGTAAATGGAAGCTAAATTGCAATAATTTACCCCTGAATAGGGTAAGTTATTACAGTTCAGCTTCCATTTATCACAAGATGAAGCAGACACATGAAATTGTTACAGTGGATCAGCTGATGCACATTCAGATGCAAAAGTCCATCCAGCCTTTAATTCTCTACAAAAAATATGATTGCCCTTACTCAGAGCTAGTACAAAAAGTTCATTAAGGACCCTGCGGTGTCAGGTGAAAATATTCCTCCCTGTTCCACCAAGTACACTTCTTGCATCAAGACTTTTGCCTTATCAGCAAGTATTTACATTTATGATGTGGCCTTTACGTTCTACAGCGTGGATGTATCATCTCCATGATGACAGTGGTATGACACATGTTTACACCTTTAGAGCTCTGTGGACAGATTCTAAGAATAAAGAATTGGAAAGCGAGATTATTTATTAGCCACAGCATAGTTTGGGAAGTCCCATCAAACTTAAAAGCTTCCTATTATTTCTGAAATATTGCTGACCCTGATAATGGGTCAGTTTAACTTGCTTTTAACTTAATTCTAGACTCCTTCAGTATCTCCAACTGATGACTTTCCTCCTACCACAGGGTTTCATCAAGCAATGATAACCTGTAGGGTTGTGCAAAGCTTTGGTTGCTGATTTGATTCGGAGGAGATTCGGCCGGATTTGGCAGCTGAATCTCCAAATCCAAATCAAATCAGGAGACTATTCAGAAAGATTCAATGATTCGGACATAGACAGCTTTAAATGCTTTTTTCTACATACCTCAAGATACCAAGTGGCTCATGAATGCTCAGATGCTGGGGTGGATGGAGCATCCCACAGGAGTGCGGGGGGGTTTCCAGTGTGCTCGGCGGCAGACACGAAAGTGGTGCCAGAAGCACTTCAGGTCCACTTTCTGGACCCTCCCCCCCACCTTGGCCACCGGTGCCTCCTAGGCCTGGGGTAGCACCTGGGGTCTCCCTGCAGCTGACTGCTGAGCTGAGGGGGTATGGGGGGAGGAGCCCCGCTTGCTTGGCAGCAGACCTGGAAGCGGTCTGGAAGTAATTCTGGTCCACCGCTGAACAGGTGAGGGCCCCCCTCTGCACTCCTGTGGGACGCTTCATCTGCCCCAGCATCGCAGCGCTCACAAGCCACGCCTGGTACCTCGAGGTATGTAGAAAAAACAATTAAAGCTGTGTCTATAGCCAAATCACGGGTTCTTTGAATCAGCGTCGAAACTTCAGATTCAGCCAAATTGAACTGGGACACTGATCCGAATCAACAAATCAAATCACCGTCCCCTGATTCGGGCCGAATCTGAATCCGAATCAAATATGGCCCGTTTTGCACACCTTTAATATCCTATGTACCAGATTACTATGGGGACCTTTTGCCCATGGGTAGTTTTGCATTGCAAATTTGCTGCGAACTCCCAAGTACAGAGTATCAGAACTGGGCTTGTTATCTTCATAAGTGGTGTCAAACTCACCCAGGGCTGGCACGGAGGCTGGATCTGTAGTATAGATTTGCATCATTTGGCCTGCAGGACTGGAAATTTGGTGGTGGGAGTGTTAGTTGCTGTCATTCCCCAAGTTGTGGCAGCTGCTGCTCATCATACTGCCACGTTTGTGGTCTTATGGGCCAGATGATATGACTTTGTGTTCTGAATCTGGCCCATGGGGCTGGAAATCTGACACCTGGATGGGCAGTGTTAATTAACACTGCTGCTGCTCACCCCACTACCAAACTTCCAGCCTTCTGGGGAGCCCCATGGGCCAGATTTGACCTGTGGGCAATACTGTTGTCACTCCTGATCTCAACCATTCACTTTTGGTCCAGAAAGCCATGAAACTATCTCATCAGAACAGAGGACTTGACAGTGTGTCCAGTTTGGCAACACAATCAAAGAAAAAGGACCATGAGACTTGCGCTTCAAATTTAATAATCATCTATGAAAAGATCGATAAGACGGTTTTTAAAAATTTCTCGTTTTTTTGTCAGAGAGAACTTTTGCTGGAATTGCTGCCTAAGATTGACTCCTGCAGTTTATTGATGTGGTAGCTGCAGGTGCAAACACAGGGCTTTAATGACAGGAAAGCTGCACACAAACCAAATCATGGTTTCTTGCAAATCAGTTAAGCTCACTGTGCCCTTTACTGCTTATCGGTCCTTAGAGAAGTGGAAGCCCAATGAAAGGTATCAAAGCCTTCTTTGTTCTGGAGGCAAGGTCTGATAATGCTGAGTGACAAAGGGGAATTCAGTGCCTACTTGGTAGTTAAGCTTCTGTAAGTTTGGGATTCTAATCTTGGTGTCCTGAGTTTTGGCTATCTGTGTAATCATAGTAGAAAGGTGGCATGTTATTTGTTCTCTGTGGAAATGAGGTAGTGTAAACAGCGTTCCCTGGTTTCATGCAAACTGATGGGTAGCTGTGTTTTTCTCAAGATCGTGTGTCATGTGGGATTGCATCTGCTATAATATCTGTCTACTCAAAGGCCCCATTACTCCCTTCTTAAATATTCCAGGGTTTCAACCAAGGTAACACATTGTGTTGTACCACATATAGCAATATAAACCAGATCTTCCAAGTCCTGAGTGTTACCCGATATAAAAATCTGTAACATTTACTGTTGTGCAGTACAAGACATATTCCCCCATAAAAATCCTACTTAAATGCTCAAAATAGTGTTTCAGAGAAGTTAAGTGAAGCCTAGTTTTCGTGCTGTCCCTCTGCAGAAGGATGAATTTTACCCTAAAAAAAGAGTTTGGACAAAAGGTTGAAATTTCTTCAACTTATATGAATATTTACTGGACTTTGTGCATCTTATAGCAGCCTTAGCTCTGTAGTACCACAGACAAATTAAAAATATAGGTATTTATATAAAATACATACTCTCATTGCTTCCTGGATATGGTCTTGTCTCACAAGTTCAGCCGACCGGTCCATGTACCACTTTAAACAACGGATCAATTCTCTGAGTAAGAGATAGTGACAGAAACATCAAGCCTCTATTTAGAATTGATCAAGCTAGAAACTTTCTAGTTTTGTAAAAAGAGCTGCCAGATGCTTTTTAAATAGTAAGTAAAATAATACGTTTGTTCCACTCACTTCTAATCAGCAGGTATATTTGTTCTGACTGCTAACTTTATAGTAAAATATATATTTACTTAAATTTCTAATACCAGAAAACATTCTCCTTCATAACTAAATCATAACTAAATCTCTAAATAGAGAGAATCAAAGGGATTTATAATGGAGATATTTTCAAAGTCAGCAATTTTCAGAAATAAAATATATTTATTTCTCTCTTCTAGTTAAGGGTCTTACTCAAATCTGTTGCAGAGAGTTATTTTTAAAAATTAAAACTGGAATAAATCAACCTATGTAAAAGCACACAGAAATACCTTAACTGAATTTCCTCAAGTACAAATGACTTCAGAATACCACTAACTACTTCCATAAAATCCAAACCTTGCTTGGTGCTGGCAACAAATAACATTCAGCAGCTTTTCTCTGTGAAGCCAGGCTACACAAATTTTGTGCAGAAATTTTGCTTTTGAAAACCACATGTAATCTGCTTGCATACATTTTATGACCCCAGTGCCCACAGTACTGAGAAATCTGAGAATGTTACTCTATGAAGTGATGACAAAACAAAACCTACTTGTAAGCCAGTGCACCTGCAAAGTGCTTCTGAATGTAAGTGTCCATCACAGGTCGGAAATGGAAATATTTGCTGTCACGCAACAGATTTATGATGAACACCTATGTGAGGTGGAGAAGAGAACCCAGAGTAGATCAAACTGCACATATCTCTAAAGATTCAGTGAGCATGCTATGTGGTTGAGAAACAAAACTTATGATGGATTTTTATACAAACAGAGAATGGACAAGTTCCTCTTTACTTATCATTTGCCCCCCTACAACCCACTGCCACAAGCAATACTTTTGTCCTCATTTTTTGTCTATGGTTATTCTACTTTATCACCTAATAATGATATAAAATAGTACACAGCAGCAATGCCCAGCTGCATATGCATATATTTTAAGGAAATAAGATAGAAGTGATAATAATTTGGTAACAAGGGCATGGAATACAAAGAAAAGAAAAACATAAGTCCAACCGGTTACTTACCAAAGATTGGAAGACCAATAGTCCATACTTTTCTGTATTGTCATCCAAAACCACGAAAAGTGTGTCTAGAATGTCTTGCAGGAACTGAAAAGGCATGAAGAAACAGTTTAAATCTAAAATTCCTGACAACATTCAGAAGCACCATCTGTTTTTGTAGGTTGTCAAATATCTTTATATGTTTTTAAGCCATTGTGCAGTAGCAGACCACTTAAAATTTGCATTTAGAGAAATTATTTATTGCCAAGATTTCCTTCTTTAACAAAGGCCAGTTATAAAAACATAGACATGTATGCAAACTAAATGTAATGCAAATAGCTTGTGAAATAATACTGTTTCCTTTTCATTGTCTCTGGGCAGATAAACAGTGCTGCCAAACAGTGGCAGAATCACTTGCCTTTTCTGGCTCTCAAATCATATGATTATGAGAGATGTCATTCCACATCTGACATGAAAGCACATACATTGGTTACAAAATAAAATAAAAATGTGTTCCAAGTCCTGTTTATTACTAAATAGTTTTGATAATAGAGATTCACATGTCTTTTGTACTAAGTATCTGTGCTGCATTCTAACTACACTATGCCAGCAACTTCTTTTGTCCAGAACACTGCAGGCTGCTGTGTCTTGATCCCTCAGTGCCTTCCGTTCCAATAAACAGGATCCAAAAGAAAGATGATTATGAATGGGCAGTACCAGAGATGAAGCTGAGAGTTGATACTAGGTCAGTTTTTTGTAATCTATTCTACCTGAATTCTCTAATGTGGAACACAAAAAAGAGAACACAATAGGATGAAGCATCTGAAATGATGCAACTGTTATTGCTGATCTATAGTCTGCTCTTCATATCCCAATGACAAATAGAAGCACATTCCAAGAGGAAGTCAGATACAAGTTCAGCTGGAATAGGCTAGCTTGTATATTTTTATGATTTCCTATATAAAATCAGACACTTGTTGTACTGTCCTGCAGATGATTTACAAAATTATACATTTTTTTTTAGAATTCAAATATGCACCTGGAGGAGTGGTTCGGTTTTTTTTTCATACAAAGTTAGCCACATGAGTCAATATTCAATGCACAGCATTACTCAAATGAGGAAAAGCAAAGTGGATAGGGGATTTTCTAGATTTACTATTCCAGAGAAATCCCACTCCCACATCACTCTAATGTTAACTTCTAGAAAACAAGTGGAAGGGACGGCTCTCAGTGTGCCTGAAATTATGTGAGGAGCCAACCAATGCCTCCTTTCCTGGTATATATAAATCCTTCTCCACGATCACAAGTGTAAATGTATTCTGAAGTATTTTGGACCTAGAACATGACAGATAATGGGGTCATTGGAAACTAGCACAGTAGAATGTCAAATCTCATGAGACACTAGGACCTAAAGTGCAAAAGTGGGAATAGCAGCTGGTGAGCCTGTTAAAGGATTAAATGCGGTTTCATTTGTTATAGATCACAAAAATGGAGTTGAAAGAAGGGTAGGTGTGAACCTAGTGAGCAGGGCTGGCCAAAGGATGATAATTCTATTTTACAACAGCTTTCATGGTTTCTAAATCAGTGCTATGCACATCACCCCATTCCCATGCCTATCTTTTTTCCAGCTTGTGAACATTTTTGTGAAGCAGAACTGTGTTGCAACTCTGCTATTAGATCAGATGGATCAGATTTTACAATTCAGGTCTCTTTGCTTTGCTGTTAATGACAAAAGAAATCATTCTGGACTTCGGAAACTTTCCTGGTGAAAATTTTGTCAAAACAGATACATGTCAATGAAACATTTCAGTTTTTGATGAAAATACATTTCAGTAAAAAATGTTCAGACTATCTTTAATCTTACAGCCTGAGGAGATGTTATGGAAGGTACAAAGGAAGGAAGAGAGAGCCATTTCATATTGGGAACAAAGATACTAAAACTGAACCAGTTAAAAAAATACCGAGAATATAATAGTTTTGCTTTGAAAACTGACAGAAAAGAGACAGAATAGGAAGGTATTTTCACAGTTTTCTTTTTCAAAGATAATTGTGCTACAGAAAAATATTTTTCCATCAATAATAGTGACCACTTGTAGACTTCATACCTTAACAATTTCCTCACCACTGACATGCCTCAGCCTTCCTAGGATATCCATTACACGGTCTGGGTAAGCTTTCCATTTCAGAAGAGCAAGCAAGTCCACTACAAAAAGGCACAAGAAAAAAACATGCATTCTGATGTACTGTTAAGGACAAGAGCAAGGGAGACCATCAGGTAGGGACAGTACATTAATATGCATGGGATGTGAAAGTTTAGATTCCACATGACAATTTTATAAGGCAGAGATGCAACAAAGCAACAGGGCACCTGGGGCAGCAGAATGCATGGGAGCAGCAGCAATTTCTGGCTGCCACAGTGCCCCCGGCATGATTGTGCAGCTGTGGTGGTAGCTGATTGACATTTTATGTGCCCCCTCTCCCCAAGTCAGCACCTGGGACAGCTGTCCCAGTTGCTCCACCTTAGATCAGAGGTGGGCAATTATTTCGGGGAAGAGAGCCACTTACTGAGTTTTGGCAAGCAATCAAGGGCTGCATGACAGGCAGCCAGGGCAGATAAATATTAATTTTCTAAACTTTTTAGGGGCCCCGCGGGCTGGATAGAATGGCCTGGCAGGCCGCATCTGACCCGCGGGCCACATTTTGCCCACCCCTGTCTTAGATACTAGGCCTGTGCAAAGTGGCAAGTATTCGCTTAGGATTTGGCTGATTTGGGGGACAGTGATTCAATTTGGTGATTCGAATCACTGTCCTGATTTGATTTGGCCGAATCTGATTCAGAGATTTGGCAGCAGCCGAATCTCCAAATCAGCCAGACCAGGCCCATCCCCTGACCCTTTCCCAGCCTAGCAATGGCTGCCTGCAGGCCCCAGCTCCCAGCACTTGGGGGAAAAAAAGCCCTGGCTCAGCAGGTGCTGCCAGGTGGGGGGCGATCTCCGCTGGCCCCCACTGCATGGGGAGCTCTGCACAAGCCCCTGAAACCCTCCCCCACTCTCCCAGCTCCCTCACAGGTGCCCCGTCCAGGCCAGCTCCGACTCTTTAAGAAAAAAAACCTGAAGAAACCCTGGGACTTGCCGCTCCTGCTGGCGGGACACTATCCCCGCTGCCCTGCACCACGTGGGGGCTCTGCAGGAGCCCCTGAAGCCCTGAGATTGCTGCAGGAGTGGTGAGTTCTGGTGCTTTTCTCGGCTTTTTTTTTTCTTAAAGGGCCAGAGCCCCAGTAGGCAAGGCAGCCGTGGGGGGGGCCGAGCGAGGGTCGAGGGGGCTCATGCAGAGCCCCCCATGCAGTGTGGGGATCGCCCCACAACTGGCAGCACCCAGTGAGCATGAGGCTTTTCTTTAAAGTACTGGGAGCTGGGGCAAGCAGCAGCAGCCATGGGGGGGCTGGGGGAGTGGGGGGCGAGAGGGTTGGCAGGGGTCCCCCCCATGGTCCCCTCCTCCCTCCCCTGCCCCTAGTATTTACCAGCTCGGACTGGCTGCAGCTCCCACCAGAGACTATTCAAATCATCAAAGCTCTCTGAATCTTTGCCGAAGATTAGGAGACCTTTGAATTGATTCAGACCTTTAAAGTGGTCCCCTGATTTGATTCAGCTTCGGAGATTTGGCCACTGAATAGGGCCGAATCTCCTCCAAATCGAATTACCACCCAAAGCTTTGCACAGCCCTATCAGATACACTACTGGTAGAGGGCAACAGATCAGTCATTACATAAAATACCAAAGATTACTGTTTCCAATGCACATTTTGTTTGAGACCTCACTCCTGCTTTTCAGCCACTATAATAAAGACTGAACTTAGTTGAACACTTACACAAAGAAGTAACTCCTATTTCACTTTACATGCATATAGCTACATAACTGCAGTTTTGGGTGCTTGTTCAGAATTTGTAATCTAGCATTTCTTGTACTAGCATACTAAGCATACTCGGCAGGGTAGCACTCTAGCCAGGCTGAAGTTTAAGGCAACAGAATCACCCAGATACATGTGTTAAGGTTGGACAACTGTCAAAATGTTAGTAGGACAAAGATCAAAACTAGCAGGTTTTAGATGTGGAAGGAGCAAGATTAGGACAGTTCTCCTGTCTTTCAGCCCAACACTGTAGTGGTTTATGGAGCAGAGGACATGGGTTCTATGATCCTTGACCCAAAGATGGTTTGAACTGGCATCTTTTGCTTCCCCCAAAATTTACTCTAATAATAAGTTTATTAGCTAGGTACTACTCAGAGTAATCCCAACACCTTTTCTTAAGCTGGCCTACTGGGTAGTAGATAGAGGGAGGTAAGTTGGGGCCAGGAGGAAGAGAAGAAGTCAGAGGGTGTGTGGCTCAGTAGGATAGCTGCTTCCCTAGTAGGGAAAGGCATCTAGGTTCTAGCCCTGGAGTTCTCTTGCTTGGTGGTTGGATGTTGACCTATAAGGGGAAAACTCCTGGGGTGTAGCCCAGTCGGTCTGTAAGTTAATGGTGGTATTTAGTCATTTCATCCAATGAATATTAAATGCAAAGCCAGCTTCGAGAGAGGCTGGAGAAGGCTCTGGGCATGGGATGGTGGTTAGAGAAAATGCAGTTTCAAGTCCCATTTAGGTGAAGGGAAAGATCCCTAACCATTAGTCTGAAGGTCTGGAGGATCCACCTGCTCTGTTTTACTTCTGAAAGGTATGCTCACATAGAGATGCTATTTTTTCACATGGAAAAACAGAATCCCAAAGTGTGCATAAACACCAAAAGTTACACAGCTACATACATGCCATTTATTTTGAAGCTACATGTTACACTTAGACCATATTAAATCTGTGGAGTGGTAAGCAGTAATTAAGTTACAACATGCTGTAAGCATTCACACATTAAGAGTTAATAGCATTTCTTGCCTGTACAGCTGTCACTTGCTACTAGAGGGCTGCTAAGTAGGTGTGTGGCGAGGAGACAGGACACTTGGGCTCTATCCCTGCCCTGGGTGGGGCAGGGAGCAGTGCATCTTGGGATCCTGGAGGACTTCAAATTGCACTTTTTATCTCTGTGGCTCAGAGTGAAGTGAAGACATGAGCTAGGTAGCACAGCCCAGAATTAACCCTTGCCTGAAGTTTTGTAACTTAGAGTCACTCAGAGGTCTCTTAGCACAAGTTAACAAGCTTGTTTAATGTGCAGATGCTCACATTTTAAGTCTCCTTAGTGCGGTATAATGGTTATGTGTAACTTCATGTAAAGTGAAATAGGATTTAGCTGAAAACCTCTAAAATACTAAAGTTTAAGAATCCTTCCAATGACTAGTCATGTGTGTGGGTTGTTAAATATAGTCAGAGTCAGCTAGAATTTATAGAAAAGTAAAGTAGGTCGACTACTACTCCCATGATGTGTTAGAGACTCAAGAGATGACTACTTGTGTTCTATGTATCATTTCTCACGACAAAGTGAAAATCTAAGATGTAAATCCCTAAAACATATCCCACACTTATAGCAAAGAACTAAAAAGAAGGAAAAAGTAAAGGTGGTATTTAGCCCTGTAGTCCCTTGATACTGCATTATGAGCCATACACTTTTGTCTTCTTGTGCCTCAGAGGGCTTGCAAGTAACAACAAGCTTTGATCAGAGAGTGCTCAGTACAAAGCACAGCAAAGCTTAATTCAGAACTGAACAAAAGTGCTAGCTTTGTATTTCTTTATCTCTCAAGCTTAATCAGAATAACATTGTTTCATATTAGCCTTTGTGCTTGCATTTATAAGAATATATATTTTATATCTTTGTGTGCTTTGCAAATTGATAAACTAATTTCTTCAAAAAAACCTGTCATTGTTCGTTCTATGCATGGAACTTAGTTAAGCAAACTACAGCTAGTATTAAATCATAGAAAAAGACCACATTAGAAGATGCTTTTGTGTGCTGTTCTGAAGGGACAGTTACTTACCATTCTGGGTAAGTTTGGTGGAGGAGAGCTGGGTAGAGATTGAAAAAGTCTCTTTGGTGCTGCGTTGGAAAATGAGGCTGGAAGGGATGTTAGGGCAACCATTGTAGTCCTCTTTGCAGCAGGGCAATCCCAGATATAGTGCATGGTTGTTAAATGTACTGTTCTCATCACACTGCAGAAATAAAAAAGGAAACTGAATTTTACTAGTTCATTCACTTAATTTCTCACATCCATATCTTAACAGGAACTGACTAAAACAGGGCAGTCCAGCTGGTGGTCTGTGGGCTGCATATGGCTCACAAGGCACAGTTAGCATATAACCTGCAGGCCCCTGCAGCAACCTCTCCCATTGCTGTGTGATGATGAAGGGGCCCATGGAGGGCCACATGCTGTCAGTACAGCTAATATGGGAGGGGATGGAAGTCCACACACTGCTGGTGCTGTTGTGGGGTTGGAGAGGTTGAGTGCTGTTGGTGGGGATGAATTCCAAGGAGGCTGCCCCTGCAGTATGTGGCCATGTGTTGTGTGGCCCAGGGGCTGCTTGCCAGCACTTTGTGCAGACCCTGGCTGTGTCCAGGTTGGACAGCCCTGGATTGACACATCACTGTATCTTTGAAGGGGAGCCTTTAAGGTAAGCTCTTTTTTTAATTAAGAGTAACTAACCTACATATATTTAGTGTAGTGGCTAAAACTCAGAAGTTAGACCAATATGTAAGCCACTTGTTTAACTAGAGTCCAGAGCAAGGGGGAGCTCACTAGAGAGTTTGAATTCCAAGGAGGCTGCCCCATCCTTCACTGTAAGTTGGTGAGAGGAAGCAGGTTAGCAGGGAAAACATAACCCTTTAGGACCAAAGACAGCCAACAGACCAGCTTACAGGGGAGTTTGCTTGGGCAGGTCTGCAGGGAGAGAGTAGCAGGAAGAAAGAGGAGGCAGACTTAGATCCAGAGAGATGGCTGGAGGACACTACAATGCTAGAGCCACTGCCAGTGTCAGTTTTTCCTTGGCTTGCACCTGTGAAGTGTCTGTCTAGACAGGACCACTCACCATTGAGGCACCCACCCAGCTTCTGGTTTGGCACTTCGATGATTGAGGCTTGCAGATTCCTTCCAGTGACAGCCAGCTGGGGGAGTGGCTGCAGTGTGAGCAATGCTTCCTGGTGGCAGGCAAGAGAGCTACAAAAGGAGGTGACGAGGCTCCAAAGGATCCTCTGCCATGAGGACTTAATCAGTTCAGTCCTGGAGGAGACCTCTAAGACTGTGGAGGAAGGGCTGCCAGAGGCACTGCTAGAGAAGGAAGAGGACATGAACTCCCAGGAAGGTGGAAGCTTGTGACCTCTGGCAGTAGGCAGAAAACTTCATCCCCACTTGCAGCAGTTTGCCTGGAAAATAGATATGGAGCCCTAGCAACAGAGGAGAGGCAGCACATTCCTTTGGTGGAAGAGGCCAAGCAAGGCACCCCAAAGGTTGGGAGGATCGAGACCACTGACACCAAGAGGAAGTGATGGGTGGTGGTAGTTGGAGACTCCCTTCTATGGGGGATGGAGGTATCCATCTGTTCTTCTGATCGGTTGTTTTGGGAGGTTGTCTGCTTGCCTGGAGCCCAAATCCAAGATGTCATGAAAGGGATGCCAAGATTCATTCAGTCTTCTGACTGCTACCCCATGCTGCTCATCCATGGGGGCAGCAATGATACTGCCTGGGGGGATATTGACCAGATCAAAAGTGATTATAAGGCTCTGGGTGCAAGGGTGAAGGTGATAGGGGCTCAGATGGTGTTCTCCTTGATTGTTCCAGTCAAGGAGAAGGCACCAGGCAGGAGCAGATGTATCCTGCAGATCAATGCATGGCTGCACAGTTGGTGTCACCAGCAGGGCTTTGGCTTCTTTCACCAGGGGATGTTGTTTGAAAAAGAAGGACTGCTAGGAAGAGAAGGGATTCACCTGACAAAGAGAGGAAAGAGCATCTTTGCAGACAGGCTCTCTAACCTAGTGAGGAGGGCTCTAAACTCAGTTTGCTGAGGGATGGAGACGAAAGTCATGGGATAAGTGGGCAAGCAGGTGACCAGGAGGAAGCACAAGCAGCAGGGGGCAACAGGGGAGGCCTTCTCATTTTTCCTGAGGAAACAGAGCAATCAACTAGTTACCTCAGGTGCCTGTACACAAATGCATGGAGCCTGGGAAACAAGCAAGAAAAACTGGAAGTCCTCACACAGACACAGACTATGATGTGATTGGAATAACAGAGACTTGGTAGGAAAGCTAGCATCACTGCAGTACTGTCATGGATGAGTATAGGCTGTTCAGGAAGGACAGGCAAAGGAGGAAGAGATGTTCTTTAAATTAAAAAAGCTGTATGATTCCTCAGAGCTCCAGTATAAAACTGGAAATAGGCCTGTTGAAAATTTCTAGTTTACAGTCAGAGGGGACAGTAGCAAGGGTTATGGGGGTCCACTTCAGACCACCAGACCAGGAGGATGAAGTGGATGAGGCTTTCTTCAAACAGCTAGTACAAGTTTGCAGATCACAGGCCCTGGGTCTCATGCGGAGCTTCAATCACCCTGACACCTGCTTGGAGAACAAGACAGCAGTTCACAGGCAATTCAGGAAGTTTTTGGAGAGTGTTGGGGACCACTTCCTGGTGCAAGTGTTGGAGAGGCCAACTAGAGGCCATACTCTTCTTGACCTGCTACTCACAAACAGGGAAGATTGGTGGGAAATGTACAAGTGGATCACAACTTGGGCAGAAACAACCATGGGATAACTGAGTTCAGGATCCTGAGGAAAGGAAGCAAGAACTCTGGGCTCAGTCTATACCCAGCTCTCAGGACTCTGGACTCAATCTCTACCCAGCTCTCCTCTACCAAACTTGACTTCAGAAAAGCAGGGTGCAATGTGCTACATCACTGTACAGCATGCTATAGTGACATAGTAATCATGTGCATCCACACGTGATAGGCAGCAGCTATGTCGCTGTTGTGGCACCCTCCCCTGGTATAGTGCACTGCTACAGCAACGTAGCCATGAACTCTAAGCAGGCACTGTGTGCATGGCACAGTAACTGCCCATACTGTGCCATGCTTAAATACTCCCAAAGGAAGTACTAAAGCACTGTGCTGTAGCAATGTCACTATACGGTGACATGTTGACACTCCCACAGACTCTGACTCAATTAGGGAACTGATGGGAGGATCCCTTAGGAGGTCAGTCTGAGGGGGAAAGAAGTCCAGAAGAGCTGGCTGTACTTCAAAGAAGCCTTGCTGAGGGTGCAGGAGCAAACCATCCCACTGTGTAGGAACACTAGCAAGTATGGCAGAAGACCAGCTTGGCTTAGCAGGGAACTCTTCAGAGTTGGCTAAAATACAAAAAGGAAGCTTACAAGAAGTGGTCCATTGGACAAACAATTAGGAAGAAGTATAAGAGTATTGCTCAGGCATGCAGGGATGAAATCTGGAAGGACAAAAAGCAACTGGAGTAACAGCTAGCAAGGGACTTGAAGGGTAACAAGCAGGGTAAGTATGGGTCCCTTACTGGATGGGAGAGGCAACCTAGTGACAGATGGTGTGGAAAAGACTGAAGTACTCAATGCCTTTTTTACCTCAGTCTTTACAGGCAAGGTCAGCTCCCAGACTACCGCACCTGGCAGCACAGTTTGGGGAGAAAGTGAGCAGCCAACAGTGGCAAAAGAACAGATTAGGGACTATTTAGAATGGACTATTTAGGATGGATGTGATGCATTCGAAGGTGCTGAGGGAGTTGGCTGATATGATTGTAGAGCTTCTGGCCAGCATCTTTGAAAATTCCTGGTGATTGGGAGAGGTCCCAGATTATTGGAAAAGGGCATATATAGTGCCCATCTTTAAGAAAAGGAAGACAGAGGATCTGGGGAACTACAGAACAGTCAGTCTCACCTCAGTCCCTGGAAAAATCATGGAGCCGGTCCACAAGTAATCCATTTCTAAGCATTTGGAGGAGAAGGTGATTAGGAACAGTCAGCATGGATTCACCAAGGGCAAGCCATGCCTGACCAACCTGGTTAGGGGGCTGAGGCACATGACTGGGGCACATGACATAGCAGCCTTCAACTATCTAAAGGGTAGTTATAAAGAGAATGGATCTAGACTGTTCTCAGTGGTGGCAGAAGACAGAACAAGGAGCAGTTGTTCTCAAGTTGCAGCAAGGGAAGTTTAGGTTAGATATTAGGAAGAACTCTCTTACTAGGAGGGTAGTAAAACACTGGAACTGGTTACCTAGAGAGGTTATGGAGTCTCCATCCTTGGAGGTTTTTAGACCCAGCTGGACAAAGCCTTGGCTGGGATGATCTAATTAGGGATGATCCTGCTTTAAGCAGGGGGTTGGACTCCATGACTTCCTGAGGTCCCTTCCAACCCTCATTTTCTTTGATTCTATGATTGCACTGATCTGACTACACAGAAAATCCATTAACAGAAAGCTGTACTTGCCATCTGCACATTTAAATTGCCTGTTTTAGAAAACATGGTCTCCTACCTACCTACAAAACTTACAGGATTTAAAGGCATATGTAGTGTGTTTTAAAAGTCTCTTTCATACTGAGCATGTCTACACGTGCCCCTACAGGACTGTTGTTACTGCGCCATCATTTAGTACTACCCTTACGAAGTACTAAATGATGGCACAGTAACAGTTGTTGCTGCGCCATGCTGCCGGTGCATGACTATTTTTAGCTGTTGTGCCTGCAGCAACGCGCTATAGCAAGGGAGTGTGTCGCTATAGCGACATAGCTGCAGCATCATAAGTTTTGCCCACTGATGCTATGTCACCATAGCATGTTGCTATGGCAATGTACAATCTGCGTAGACATGCCAACAGTGAAGGAAAGACCTAGAAACCAAGTAAGACTAAAGAGCACTGCTGAGTTATAATGGGCTGCTCTACATTGTTAAAGTATAGTCCATGCCAGCAGGATTTCATAGCATAAATACCCACAATAGTATCATAAGTCTCTGCCAGACATTACATTTATCAAAGCTTAATATGTTAATTGAATGATAAATTGTAACATGCCACATCCTCAGCCAATTTATCAAGCAAAAAAAATGGAAACCAGCCACAAGGTTCACATTTGAATGTGTGGCTTGGTAAAGTTGCACCTTGCAATCCAATATTTGGCTGAGGAGAACAGCTTTCAACTTGT